GCTGCATAGTATTCCATGGTGTATATGTGCCACATTTTCTTAATCCAGTCTGTCACTGATGGACATTTGGGTTGATTCCAAGTCTTTGCTATTTTATTTAAATGTACATTTGGGTCGGGTGCGGTGGCTCACGCCTGTAATCCCAACACTTTGGGTGGCTGAGGCTGGCAGATGACGAGGTCAGCAAATCGAGATCATCCTGGCTAACACAGTGAAACCTCATCTCTACTACAAATACAAAAAATTAACCAGGTGTGGTGGCATGCGCCAGCAGTCCCACCTACTCTAGTGGCTGATGCAGGAGAAGTGCTTGAACCCAGGAGGCAGAGGTTGCAGTGAGCCGAGATGGCACCACTGCACTACAGCCTGGGCCACGGAGCAAGACTCCATCTCAAAACAAAAAAAAAAAGTACATTTGATGGAACCACTCACCACTCCATAGTTTTGTTATGTTTATTGTGCTTGTGTAGAAGTGAAGGCATCAGGGAAATTATCCCTTCTTGAGTGCCTGCATGTTATTATTCTCTCCAGTGTTCATAGGAGGACCGAGATCTTGCCATTGTACTCCAGCCAGGGTGACAGCGTGAGACTCCATCTCAAAACAAAACAACAACAACAACAACAAAAATCCCTGAGAATTCCTCTCTGCTAAGTCATTGTCCACGGAGACTGTAATGAAATGCCATGAAAATAAATGTGTCATATTAAAGGTGAAACTGTGCAAATAGTGATAACGCATAGTTGGCAATGATACTTATTAAAACAGGTATTCGTCCTTGGAAAGTCTGATCTCTAAGCACTGCTCAGAATCTAGCTTCAGAGATGGTATTTATCCATTGGGGTGACCACTTAATTTTGAGGGACAGAAAAGATGCAAATTGGGTAGAGAAAACTGGAAACACGTATAGCATTTTAATAAGTTGTAGTGAACAAGAACTTCCATTCTGGCTCTAATCTCTTATCTGAGTCTACCAATGATGAAGTTCATTGTCCAACGTCACCAGCTGGTTAGTAGCTAAACCAGGATTTAAACCCAGGTTTTCCCTGAAGCTGAGCTCTGTTTTACACCAAAATAGCTCTTCTGGGCACCGAAGCAGGCACAATGGAGTTTCCTGCTGCCAGCATTATTGTTGGTATAAGTGAGTTAATACTGCACACTGCTTCTGGGGCATGCGATGTAGCCCATTAGAATCTCCGCGGACTCTGAGTCCAGAGGCTAGGAATCTTTGCTTTGTCACTGATAAATGATCTGCGGGCTCTTAATCCTGATTCCATATTCCTCATTTGTAAAGCTGTTGGCATATTTGCACTGAGCAGATTGCTCTCTCTGCCAGCTTAGCTTCACATGGCAGTTTGGGATTTTATTTTTTCTTTAAGATTTCATAAAGCTGAGTGTAAAATGGGAATGTTTTCATAAACGCTTAAGCATCTTTAGTGAAGCTAATTTATAGAATTTAAATGTTCCTCTCCGGCAGTTTTAAACTCAAATTCCTCAGCAGTGGTGGGGGGTTGGGGCCAAGAAACAGGAAACTGCTCTGTTTCATTGTTCATACTCAACAATAAAAAATTAAACAGCCTAAAAAGTGCAAGCTAGAGAGAATTTTTTCAGACGTTCTCTCCTCTGAATTGGAGTGATGGTGATAAAGGCAAAAATGGGATTCCTCTCTTCTCTGGGTCCCCCGGCCCTCCCTGGCAGGGGCCTGGCAGCCACACCTTGAATTTCTGGGGTGACTCAGCCCCTGTGGCACAGTGCTAGGCACGACACCCAGCACCTTACTCAAGTCACCTTTGCCAGCGGCTTGCCTCCCAGCCCCTCCCTAGGGAGCATGCTTTGGCAATGGCGTGACTGGGTGGTGAAGAACCTGGATTGTGCAACCTTGCAAGGTTGTGTAACCACCACGGCTGCACTTTTTGCACAGTCTGCTAGATAGCTTAGCACACAGCCAGAGTCTGCAGCGAGGTTCCCATGGTAAGATTTTTTTGGGAGCGACTTTCTGCTTCTATTTTACATCCCATCCTTGTTTTAGCATCTGTTTTTGTTGCCAGAAGATGAGATGGCATGAAGTCTGCCTTCCTCTCTCTTCTTATATGGAACCAGGTGGTGTATA